TCCTCTCCTCTCACCTCCTCTTAACCCACCTCATTTCCTCTCCTCTCCTCTCCTCTCTTACCTCCTCCATCTCACTCCCCCCCCTCCCCCCCCCCTCTCTCTCTCTCTCTTTAATCGGCATCAGAGCATATTCCGTTGAATTTAATAAGACCCCTAATAGGACTGACCCACACGGACACCTTCAATCACTCCACCGATGAGATCTCCCAATCCGTTGCATCTTTGATCAACCGAACTGCTCGCTCAACGGCCACCATGTTGAGCGAGAAGCGTCCTGGGCACAATTTTTTTTTTTTTTTTTTCTCCGTGTCTGTTTTTCAAGAAAGAGAGAGAGAAAGAGGAGAGAGAGATAGATAGATAGAGAGAGAGAGAGAGAGAGAGAGAGAGAGAGAGAGAGAGAGAGAGAGAGAGAGAGAGAGAGAGAGAGAGAGAGAGAGAGAGAGAGAGAGAGAGCGAGAGAGAGCGAGAGAGAGCGGAGCGAGAGCGAGATAGAGAGAGAGCGAGAGCGAGAGAAAAGAGAAGAAAGAAAGAGAGAGAAACACAGATAAAGAAAAAAAATAAGACTACACCCGAAGAAAGCGAATGCTAAGAAGGAGGCGGCGACGAAGGCGAAGCAGGCGAGGAGGCAGACGAACCCCCTCGGAGGAGAGGACGGCCTGAAAGAAGCAATTTGAAGATGATCGAGACGACAAACACGTGTAATTGTGCCGCTGTCCGCAGAGTCCCCCGGGGGAAACCCAGGGGGGGGGGGAGGGACACCAAAGAGGGGGGCGCCAGGGGGGAAGACACCCGCGTCCGCACACTAACTACATTACACATTATTAAGGGCGGGCTTTAATTGTATCATGTGGCGGCGGCGGCGGCGGGCTACACCTATGACCACCCTTGCCGGGAGGGGAGGTGGGAAGGGGAAAGAGAGGGCGAGGGGAGGGGGAGGAGGAGAAGGGAGAGGAAGGGGGAGGGGAGGAGGAAGGGGAAGAGAGGGCGAAGGGAGGGAGGAAGGGAGAGGGGAAGGAAGGGAGGGGAGGAGGAAGGGGAAAGAGAGGGCGAGGGAGGGGAAGCGAAAGGGGAGGAAGGGAGAGGAGAAAGGAAGGGGAGGGGAGAGTGGAGGGGGAAGAGACGAAGAGAGTAAAGGGAGGACGAAGGATAGGAAGAAGAAAAGGAGGAAGGGGAAGGGGAGGGAGATGAGTGGTAGGAGGATCCGGAGAAGAACACAAGGAAGAGGGGAAGGCCATGGACCAGAAGGATGGAAAGGGGAGAGAGTGTATGAAGGATGAGTCTTAGAAAAGTTGAGGGGAAGGACTCATAAGGGAGAGAGTGAGGGAAGGATAGAGGGAGACTCTGGTGTAAGAGTAGAGAGAGGGAGGGCGAGGGGAAGAGTATGGTGGGGAAGGGAGAATAGAGGGTGAATGAGGGGAAGTGGGCGTAACGCCGTTGACGATGGACGTTGAGGAGAGTAGAAAGTATCAAGAAAATGTAACGAACAATGCGTGATTGATTATCGAAACGATTATAAATAAGGATGATAAAAAAAAAAAAAACGAAAGAGAGAAAAAAAGAAAAAAAAAAACAGGATAAATAAGTGAGTAAGGTGCGAGAGAAGAACAGCAAGTTGCTACAACAACAATCAATAGAAAATGGATCGAATTTGAATGCCACGAAGATGGCGAATATAAAAGTCACCAGAACTGCAACTTAAGGATGGAACTATGGCAGATCTGACGTGATGGAAGACCTCGGAGATGAGAGAGAGAGAGAGAGAGAGAGAGAGAGAGAGAGAGAGAGAGAGAGAGGGAGAGACAGAACAGAGAGAGAGAGAGAGAGAGAGGGAGACAGACGCGAATGAGGGCGAGAGAATCTAGGAGAGTGCCTACGAGGGCGAAATTTTATGAGTTTATGAGGATAAGAAAGACAATAGATATGAGTATGAGGGAAAGTGAAAACAAATCAAGGAGAGTGAGTATAAGGGGGAAAAGACAATGAGAGTGCATATGAGGGTGAGAAAGGTAGTGTGAGTGGCTACGAGTGTAAGAAAGGAAATGAGTGTGCATGAGGGTGAGAAGGGTAGTGAGAATGAGTGAGTTAGAAAGACATGTGTGAGAAAGTGTGAGATGAGTTAAGTAGTGAGGAGAAGATGAGTTAAGTGGCGAACGAATGAGTAAACGTCAACGGAGTGAGTGAGAATGAGAGATTAAGAGTGAGAGACAAAGAAATTACGTAAGAGAGATGAAACTAGGTGTGAGGAAGCTAAAAAAAACAAAACAAAAACAGTGTGAATATATAAGGCTGCGAGATGCAACTGAGAGTATGTATGAGGGTGAGAAAGACCTTGAAAGTGAGTATGAGATGAGGCAACGAGAGCGAGTAATAAGGCGAGAAAGAGAGTGCAAGTGTGTATGAGTGAGAGAGACAATAAGCGTGAGTGTGAGGGGGCGACGGAGACAATGAGAGTGAATGGAGGGCGCGAGGAATGAGGATATAAGAATATAAGGAGAGAAAGGGACATGCGGGTGTGAGTGGAGGAGCAAGGGGGGGAGGAGGGAGATGGGGGGGGGATTGAGGGTAACGCGAGAAGGTAATAATGATAATGGCTATTTAGAGGGGGCCTAGGGGGGGGGGGGAGCAGCGGGAAGAGAAGAGGGGACGTACAGGGGGGGGGGTATGAGGAGGGGAGGGGAGGGGAGGGAGCAAAAAGGCGTTGCTATAACGTATGATAAAAATATCGCCCAATCGCGCAAAAGAGTGTCGTGGGACTTCATTCCGCGGCGGGAATAAGCGGACGGCCCGGATGATCAAGGAAGCGAGAGGAGGGAGGAGGAGGAGTGGACGGGGAGAGTAAATGGAAATAGTTGCGTCCATCGCTGCGCTGGGAAGGAGGAGAGGAAATCGCGGACACCGAAAGGTCCGTCCCGAAGGACCTCACGGAGGCGTTGTAGCTTTCGAAGAGATAATCACGGAGAGGAACAAATAAAATCGAAGACGGTGGTGACGGGCGGTCGTGTGACCAGCACAGGTCAAAATCGTCAAGAAAAGGGCCCGAGAAAGGCCGAGGGCGTGCAAGGACCTACCTGACGGAGGGAAGGGCTGCAGGCGGTGCTGGAAGGCCTCGTGCAGGGGCCTCACGCTCAGGTCGAGGCCGAGGTCGCCCAGCCTCATGAGGGGCGTGCTCTGGGGCGCGCCCTGAGTCGCGTCCGTCCGCAGGAGCTTCTGGATGTGGGCGTCCGAGCAGCTGAAGGACTGGCGCCTCTTGGGCCAAATGGGCGGCTGCGCCCGCGGGCTGCCCTCCTCTAGGTGCGGGCTGCGCACGGGCGTGTCGGGCGAGGTGGTGGGCGTGATGGTGACCTTGTCGATGGGCAGCGGGGGCGCCAGGGGCCGCTCCTTCGAGGCGAGGCCGGGCGGGAGGCCGTCGCCAGGCAGGTGCCGCTCCGGGGGCGGCGACTGCGACTGCGCGAGCATGTTGTGGGCGAGGTAGCGGGCCCACGCCCGGCACCGCTCCGCCGACAGACCCTCCAGGCCGCGGTGCCACTGGCCCACGCCCGCGCCGCCCACGCCCACGCCAGAGGATCTCCTCTCGTTGGAGCTGAAGTCGAGGAAGTTCCCGAAGGAGGCGATCTTGGCCGGCTCGGCGAACAGCGCCGCCTTGTGGTTGTCCGCAGCGAAGCAGCTCCTGCCGAGGTCCTCCTGGCTGGAGACCGGAGGGGGGGCGGCCACGGGCGCGGCCTTGCCTCCGCGCGGCTCCTCCTGAGGCGACATCCGGCACTCCTCGCGCCGCTCCTGCTCAGGGGGTCTCGGGGGCTCCGCCCTCGCCAGCTCGGGGCGGGCGGCGGCGGGGCGACGCCTCGCCAAGGCTCCGCTCGCACGCCAAGTCGTCCTGGCCATTGTCCTCGGGCGGCTGCGGGGCCTGCCTGCGGCTGCTGCTGGCTGCTGACCTGCTGAAGGCCTGGCTGCTGCTGCCCCTGGTGCTGCCCTGCTGATGCTGACCCTGCTGGTGCTGTCCCTGCTGAAGCCCTTGTTGATGGGCCTGCTGATGCTGCCCTTGCTGGTGCCCCTGTTGATGCTGACCCTGCTGAAGCCCTGGCTGATGCGGCCCCTGCTGATGCTGTCCTTGCTGATGATGCCCTGCTGGTGCCCTTGCTGAAGCCCTTGCTGAAGCCCTTGCTGAAGCCCTTGCTGAACCGCCTGCTGGTGCAGGGTGCCCGCATGGTGCGGGCGCGGCATCTCGCCGAGGTCCATGGGCGGAGGGCAGTCCTTGGGCGGCTGAGGGTGCGCCGCCGGGCGGATGGTGAGGCCGCGGGCGCCGGGGATCATGCTGGCGACGCTGAAGGGGCCGAAGGAGGGGAAGGCGCCGGCGGGGGGGCTGGGGAAGGGCGGCGAGGGCGCGTGGGCGGGGGGGCGTGACGGCGGGCGGGCGTCATCAGGGACTGCTGCCCCGCCGACAGAGGGCGGCTCATGCCTCGGCTGCGCTCATGCTTACCTGCGGGGGAGACGGGAGTTAGGGCGGCTGCGAATGGGGAGGAGGGAGACAGGGCGATTGGGGGGGGGATGAAAAGAAAACAGCGAAAAGTCACAATTACAATTAGAAAACACTCACGATGATAACAATAATAATATCAATAACGGTAATAACAACAACAAAAATACAGATCACAAGAAACAATAATAATAATAACAATAATAGTAATGATGATGATAATAATAATAGTAATAATTATAATAATAATAACACCAACAACAATATCAACAGTAATGATAATTATAACAATAACCATAACAATGATAATGACACCAACAATGATAATAAAATTAATCAAAACGAAACAATAATAACAATAATAATGATGATGGCTTGATTATAAAAAAAAAATCGACTAGAATTGTTTATTACCTAAGGGAAGCATGTAAAAAAAAAAAAAAAAAAAAAAAAAAAAAAAATTGTAATTAATGGAATAAATTAACTCGACTTTTGACTTGACTTTCACAACCTCTACAACACCTACAACATGGCACACAGGACCCGACGAGGCAACAACAACCGGCGCTCGAACAACACTGCGCGAAAAGTGTCGCAAAAATATCTAGGTGATCTTGCGCGCATGCTTCGTCGCCGCGCCATTTCGTGCTTGGGACACGTTTGTGGTCAGCTCGACGTCAG